TTAATTCATTAAGTTGAAGAACATTATTTTAATGACCTTTAAAAAAAACAGTACCATCTGCTTTGCAAATTGTTAAATGTCTCAAAGAGACCATGTGTGGCAGAGCAAAACTTTCTTGCTTTTATAAATGATGTGTTTAAGATGCCCTGAATTTACTATATTTTGTTTTTCAGCAATGTTAAAAATAGAAGTTTTGGTGTTCATAATCACAGTTCCACTGTTAAATTTCTTAAACCAGTAAAAGTCATTGTAAATATGGCAATTAAAACATCTGATTATTTATGACAAATACCAAAAGAGATAAAAACATGAAAAGAAACAAATATTCAAAATATATCAGTGTTAATTCCTCAAATACATGAGTTACATAACTGCTAAAATATAATATTTTGCTACCACCCTTCTGCTAATTTGAATTTAATTTCTGATTTCAGTTGTGAAAAAGGAAGCAGAGTGGTAGGTCTTCATTTTTTTATCTGCCTTTGGTTGTCACGATCTGCCATACAGAGCAAAGCCAAAGTTGGAAAGCCTCTGACGCAGGTGTCCACCTGACTGGCGGCTGAACGCACCAATCAGGGCTGCCGTCTCTTCCCGGACGGGGAGGGGAGGAAATTCCATCCCATTACAACTTCATAGCCAGGAAGTCATTCACTATCAGCCTCAACTCACAACTTTCATCACAATCCAAACACTGGAAGCACAAGGGGCACGGAGAGCTGACACAGTGACTGGATATCTGGATGCAGTGATGTAACTGCTGCAAAAGGAGCTGATTGCAGACACAATAGTCTCAGATATACTGCTCAATACTTGCCATATTCAGTGACCTTGAACATGTCTGGTTCAGTATTACAATGTCAGACTGAAATGATCACGTTGGCTTTGTGTGTGAGAGGCGTTGTGGCGGCAGCTATGTCTCTGACTGCCGGTACAGCGTGTCCCCTCACACCTGTGGCACCAAATCAACCAGTTTCTTCATTTTTTTTTTTTTTTTACGCAAGACACAATGGAAACATGGGAGCTTTGGATTCAAAGGGCCACGCTGAGGGCACTGGGTATTTGGCTGGTTTCAAAATTCTGCTTGCAGCACAAGAAGATGTCTTGTGATATAACTGCCTCTCCTCACTTCTTCAATTTTCACTACAAGATCCAAAATGAGGAACTGCTTAAGTTATTTACCTCTAGAATTTGGGTGTCAAGTCTTTATAATTTCAACAACTTCAGTGACGCACATTTAAAAGAAAAATTCAAAATTGTTTTGAGCCTACACTCCGACCTTTCCCAGACACTGATATTTTTGGAAATTACAAACTTTTGGATCTCAGTTAAAATCAGAAACAAGTTTCTTTAAACACAGAGTTTAAGTTTGGTTTGATCAGAGGGAAAATTAATTAAATAGCTGAAATTGGAGAGTTTCTTAGTTGAAACACTCCGGTTTTGAAATGCAAATAAAAACATTTTGAAATAGAATAGTGTGTTAATGTTATTCTTGATATAACACCAAGCAGTGAAAAAATAAAAATAAAAACATTTTCACTTTCTGTCACAACATGGATTTGAACACAAGTAGAACGGCGCCACCTGCTGGTGGATAATGGAAATTGCCTTCTAGTTTTGAGAAAATTAATTTATGCTGGCAATGAAACTCGGGGGCAAATCAGGTCAATAAAAATAGTTTATTTACAGTGGCATCAATCAGAAATCAACAAGCAGCATTGGCAGAAGCAACATCAGAGTCAACAGTTTGCATAAAGTTGGTGAACAACTGTTGGGTAAAAACTCACTAAATAAACAGTTTGAACTGGACTGTGCAGCTGCTGAGACGTTTCAGTTCAGCTCCACAGCAGAGACAATACTTCAAATAAGATTTTTAAAAATACCAAATTTGAACCTCAACACTCTCTAGTTGACTTAATATTTAGATTTACAGCATTTAATATTTTACAGTGGCCTCGGTCAAAAGGAGTTTGCAGCAGATTGTGGTGCCTAACAAAAACAAAACAAAAAAACAAAAAAAAAACACTGGAAATCTGCTTCATTTGCTTTATTATGCTTTTAGTAATGTAGACCATGATCCTGAGACTACTTTAAAGGAGAGGAACATTTTAATCAAATCTAACAAAATGTACTTCTCAGAAAATCAGAAAAAGAAAATTAGAACATTTCTGACTATTTAGTTCTTTGCAAACAGCCTGAATTTTGGTTTGATTTCCTTGAAGTTAATCTACAGATGTTTTTATTTTCATGACTAAATAAATCTCCTGCAAATCAACAGGAATATAAAATCAACTTGGCAGTTTAATGGCTGTGTGAGGAAGAGCCACTCTGCGGAGTGGTCAAAATCATCTAAGCATAGCAAGTGCTTGAACTGATGGAGATATTTTAGCAGCTTCAAATATGTTTTGGTGATTGGCTTCGGTTGTTTATTCCAAATTGAGTTTTTTTCCCCCCTGCAATGAATACAGATTTGGGGGGGAAAAAAAAAAAAAAGTAAAATTCAATATATTCCCACTCTTCTCAATTTTTAAAACATCCTTTAAGGTTTAAAGTTTTAGTTTTGAAAAAATACATAAAATTTGTTGGTAGAAGTAGGAAAACCCTGATGCTAAGGATTCTAAAATCAAGTCAAGTACATTTAATTAGAATCACCACATAACTCATTGATTATCTGACTATAATATTACCATAATTCATGGCCCACTGTAGTTTAATTAGCTTAAATAGCCATATTTAATAAAATCAATTACCTTTTAAAAACAAAATCCTACTAATCAGGGAGTATTTCAGTACATGCAAATAATGTGATGAGAAACAGTTGGATGTGCTAACATAACAAATCTTAAGAGGTTTATCACAGCTTGTAAAGTCTCATTTTTTGTGAGGAAACCTAACATTCCTGCTTTTACACTGCATAAAGTGGAGCATCACCAAGTCGGCAGAGTTCAACACACCAGTTACTCTTTAAAACCTTACAACTAAACACCTAACAAAACAAAAAAAATCAAAAAGCTAAGGCATTACTCTATGCATATTTACATGAAATACAGTTGTACGCAATCGATAACAATATACAAAATTATCCAGTATGTATTCTTGTCTCAGTTTAAATCGAGATAAACAGTTTACCTTCATATAAGACATCTGGAAAAAATGTACACAAGTGTTTATCTTCACCGTGATCTGAGTGCTTCAGACATTCAGAACATTTCTATGGCCTAGGTTTAATCTCTGAGGTTTTTTATGTCATCATGAGGGTAAAGAACAAAGTAATAATAGTTGCCGCACCAACAGGGGGACAAAACTAAATTCCAACTTTCTTTACAGTGTTCCAGTTTTCATTTCCCAGTTTTCCTCCTGCTACAGAATGTTAAGCAGGGAATTCAAGAAAAACATGTTGAATTTAAACAGTTTCCTTCACAATTAAAAGCTTATTAAGAAAAAGCACCTAATGAAAAGCACCGAAACTAGCTGAGCTATTCCCGAAACGTTCCTGACTTTCAGTTTGAATTGTAAAGGCTCTTAGTCAAATAGTTTGAGGGAAAAGTCAAATAAGTAAATAAAGCTTAAGTAAATTCTGAATCTTTAACGATGTATCTTCATTGAACAAGCATCTAAAGTAAGTATAAACAAAAAGATAAAATGACAAAATACAAAAGCATGTTTAAATTTGCTTTTAGAGTTAGATTATTCTAAACTAGAAAAGTCACTACGGAGGAGTTTTGTTGTTTATTATGGGTAAAGGAGATCTAACTGCAAGTATAATTAAATTAAAGCAAAAATATAACATAGTTATAACATTGTTAACATTGTTGTCATGCCCTCCAGTGGCAGTTGAACACTAAAGATTTCAGATTCAATTTAAGATTAAAAGTTCGAAAGGATAGGATGTGTCACATCATCTACATTGGCATATTTAAAATAGCTTTTTATGCAGCCCAACTAGCTGATTATGTGGAACATCAAGTCCTATCAGATCTTTGAAGGATGAATGTTGCTTTTGGTTTGAATAGTGTGGAAGTTATGTTACTTTTATCACAGTCTGTGTGATTTTTCTGTATTTAGGGATAATCTGGGAATAAAAGCTTTCAGACAGTTGTAAGCTGAATTTATGACAAACTACATATGGCATTCAGTTTCACTTTCAATTTCAAACATGCAACATCTGCAAGCTAATGAATCTTCATCAGCACAGACAAAGCATTTGCATAGTATTACATGAGATAAGAAATGTTATCAATGTCGTGTTCCATTATTTGAGTAGCAATGAATATCATGATAGTGACGTGTATGTATGAAATAAACCCAATGTAAGAGCTAACAATGCAGAGTTTTGACAAATCAAAAAAAAAAAAAATCAGTATTTGAGATTATCTGTGTGAAAACTGTTAAATGCATAGAAAAGCAATGATGGAGCATTATTTATCTAAAACAGTGTTCCTCAGCAGCGGCTCTCTTCCACATGCAGGACACACTGTACTGGGGCAGAAACAAAAATATCTACAACATATAAAAGCTGTTCCTCACTGACGGACTGAACACAAAATTTTAAAAAAGTGTGGAGTTTTGTTGGTTGCACATGCATTTAAGTCACAATGACAGAAAAACAATTACTATGCGTGAGCAAATTTGGTCAAAACGCAACAAGTCAGAATAAAACACAAGTTGTGACATTTTTCACCGCTACATGCTAACAATTAGCATCTGAACAGTGCTATTTAGCTAAAGGCTAGCACTGCCCATTACAGAATAACTGAGGCTTTTGTCTTTTGTTTGTTTCAAACTTCATAATAATACATCCACCAGGAAGTTTGTTTGAATAGAAAGAGACAGTGTGCTTAGTTTAACCTATGGCATATTTCTACTCTCTGTCGATCATCTATGAAAGTCCAAACTGCTGCTTCATGATACCACTTAAGGAAAAGGGGTGATACAGATCTATGTACACTATTTATACACTTAATCAATCAATCGATTGATTGATTTTGATTGATTGATTGATATTTATACACATTCACCTTTATTTGAAAAGTCATTAAATAGGGGACACATGTCCTATGTACTACAGCAGTTCAAATATATATTATTTTTAAAATTAACATCAATGAGTACCATTTCAAAAGATCTTAAAGATATAATTGATTTTCTTCCATACAAATAATCTAAAACATCTTTAAAACTATAAATAACTGTAAAATCTTTCATATAGTTTTCCTTTTACGTTCAGTCGGGCTCTAAAATAGAACCAGGAGTTAAAAAAAAAAAAAAATCAAAAGATTCATGTCATACATCTCTACAGTGTGAAATTGTGACAGTTTGAGTTTCACACACATACACACTAACACACACATAGTAGTCAAGCAGAAACATTTCACCTCAGACTAAAGGATCAAACCTGGGAAACTGGACCACCTCCTTACAGCAAACAGCCACTGTGAGCAGCTCGTCTATAGAGGCTTTCACCATGTGTGTCATTAAACTGACTACCTAAAAGCTTTTGTATGTAAAGTTTATGTGCTGGTTTTACAGCAGCAATTCATGAGCCAAAATATTCAGCAAGAAAATGTACATATACGTTTTAAAAGATGCCATAATCCACATTCTGGAGACAAAAAGCTCCTTTTTGTGCTGATTCAGCCCAAAAAGGCCATTGGATGTTTTTGTTTATTGGTTGAATAAGTGCCAGTGAAATCCTTCTTCATCATAAAGTTGGGTGGTATCTGTTCAGTTGTGTGTTCAGTTCAGTTAATTACAATGGAAAAATGGAAGCTAAATGGAATATTTTAACCCAGAGATAATGACTAAAATGTGTTCCTGAAGACAGAATCAGAAATATAATGACTGTCCTACAGGTGTGTTTGCTGCCAGAGTGGTTCAGATGACAGTTTTCATGGTATTTCAAACTGTGTTTGATTTGATGAACAACTGGAACTAGGCCAGTCTGAGTGAAGTTCAGAAGTTTTTACATTTTGTGTTTTTCTTCCATCCTCGGTCCTCTGAAATGAATGTAAGTATTTCCTCTAAAACCTTCACACTTCTCTGAGTTCAGTGTCTGTATTAGCTGGGGTCCGTGTGTCATACCGTGTCCCAACTGAGGCCGTGGTCAGCAAAAGTTCTACAAAAAACACAGTGAAGAAAGATTACTTACTGAATAATTAGAAATGCTACATTTTTTAATATTTTGTAAATATTTATTGAACTTTTTTTAAATAGAATATTGCTAAGTAAAGGGAAAGATTACAAAGGACAATGTTCTTACTGCAAGATGACAATTTGTACCAAACAATATTGGTTCTTTTTCATTTATTTTGGAAATAATAAAAGGGAGACTTTGAGGGTCACTTATGCAAAAGAGCTCTTTTACTTGGTACTACTTCTGTGTGTATTTTTTAAGATTAAGAAAAAAGTGGAAAATAATACTCACAGAATTGACATTGTTCTCTTGGGTCAACATATCGATTCCTCCAAACTGTTCCAGCATCAGGCTGCTGTCGCCCACCTGCACCAACAGTGACATAGACGAGCACAGTTACATTTCCTCAGTTACTTATATGTAAAAAACAACAACACAGGGTTCATACGCAAGACTGGATAGATTTTACGCCCAACAAACTGCTGAAACGTCGAAGCTTTTTAAATGTGAAGCAGTGATTTTGTCACCTGTTCGTTCATGGAGCCCATCTGTCCCGCCACTGAATTCATGTTGCTGCTGCTGGCCATGGTGACTCCCAGGTTCATGTTGCTGCTGCTGTACATTCCACTGGATTGAGTCGAGTACTGAGACTGGGACTGCTGGGGGTACACGCTGAGAGAAGAGCAGAAAAGTGATGCAGGGCTTTAAGAAAGCCTGGCTGTGATGTCGTTGACCTGGAGAAGCTGCTGCTACCTGTTGCTGGTGGAAATGTTTGCAGGCTGCGACCATCCGTTTAGGTCGGCGCTCGTCTGGTAGCTTGGCGGTCCGCCCTGGTTTGGCGCCTGGGCTTGGGTTTGCGTTTGGCCCTGGTTCTGCTGCAGCATGGGGCTCTGACCCTGCCCCATCCTGGGGGACAGCAGAGGGCTCTGTGGCGTGCCAGCCCCACACGGAAAGCATGACGCCGGGTCCTGGTGTTGTTGCTGACTCATTCCTGCAAAAACAGAAAACATAAGATGCAGGTGAGCTCAAGTTCAACATATAAACAACATATAAAAAGAAGTTTTCAGTTCATGATTTGTAGAAATTATATTAATTGGAATATCTGAGCAAAATACACAAAAGATTGTGACTGATTTAAATCGCTAGCAGCCAAAGAGCAAATATGTGATAAAGTCACATTTTTTTTATATAAAATGCTTTACGTCATAAAAACTTCATACAGTCATCAATTATGAAAGAAGCAATAAACATTACATGTTGTCAAATATCATCAAAATCACGAAGCAAAGGCACAGCATTTATATTGATCAATGTTTCACTTACTACTAATCAAAGACAAATGTAATCAGGTGGGTTTTTAATTCAGATTTAAAAGAACTCAATGTTTCGGCTGTTTTGAAGTTTTCTGGAGGTTTGCTCAGGAAGGACTTTAGGACTGCTGTGATGAGCTCTATCGTCCAGGTTTTAGTCAGAACGCCAGCAGCAGCGTTCTGGATCAGCTGCAGCTGGAGGATGATTATTTTATTTTAGGCAGACCTGTAAGGGCACTCTTGAAGTAATCAATGTGACTAAAGATAATTCATTTTTTATGCCTGGAAATGTTCTTTTGGTGATAAAACACTGATTTTATGTGACTCTGAAGGTTAAGGTCAGAGTTCGTCACCCAGATTTCAGCTTGATCTTTAGTTTCTATCTGTAGTAACTGAAGCTGTTTGACTCTAGATCAGGGGTGGGCAGTTCCAGGACTGGAGGGCCATTCTCCTGCAACTTTTAGATGCATCTCTACTTCACACCTGAGTCAAATAATGAGGTCTTTAGCAGAAGTCTGGAGAACTTGACTGCACTGAGGAGGTGATTCAGCTGTTAGATTCAAGTGTGTTGGACCAGAGAGACGTCTGACACCGGCCCTCGAGGACCAGGATTGCCCACCCCTGATCTAGATCACCACCACCAACTGTAACAATATCCTCCATAAAGCACATAATCAATCCAATACCTGAATTGCTGAACTGGAAGGCACTGTGCTGTGACGGTGGGCTCATTACGCCGCTGTATTGCCCGCCTACATTTCCCATCATGCCCTGGCTTGCCAGGAGATGACTCGGGGAGAGAGGGGAGGAGAAGGGGCTGGAGGAGCCGGGATGAGGAGGAGGAGGAGGAGATGACAGTCCTGTACCGTAACCAGAGGCCGGGTAGGGGAACCGCTGCATGCTGCCCTGCGGCACCCGGGGGTTGACACCCCCCATGGGCATCGGCGAGGGAGCAGCGCCCCCGCTGGGCATGTTGGGCGGCAGATTGATGCCCTGAGTCCGCATCATCATGGCACGCTGCTGATGCGCGTGGTGCTGCTGCCGCTGACGCAAGTGGTTGCTGAGGTACTCGCGCTGACGCTGCGCCAGCATGTGGGCGTTGACAGGTCCCTGATGGAGCAAACACAGCCGGGTCATTTCTGGCATCACCACAAAACAGGAAGAGGAAACAGTCTGCTAGGAAGCACTCCACAGGAAGTTCACTGCAAAAACACTAAATATTGCCAGTATTCTCAGTACATTTGAAATAAAACAAACTTATAGGTAACTTTTCAGCCAGATATAGGAACTAGATTTTAGTCAGTAATTCCTTTATTTTGATGGAAACGCTGGAAAAATATTGTTATAAATTAAATAATCTGCCAGTGGAACTAATACTTTTTCATCATCATTGAGTAATTATAGACTTAAAACAAACTTCTATTTCTTCAGGGAAGTTACTAGTAAGTTAGTTTTGTCTTACTTCAAGTGTACTGAGATATTTGCAATTGAAACTAGACAACAATCCTTGTTAATGCTTTCTGTTTTTGCAGTGTACAAGGCTGCACCATCAGAACACACTGACTTTTTTACATTTTGCCAACATAAAAAATGTACAAGTTATGTGAGAAAGCAACACAAAGCAGTGCATCGCTGTTAAAAAAAATGTGGCTGAAGGCTGACATTCTTTTTACAAATAAAAATCTGAAAAGTGTGGTTTGTATTTGTATTCAGCCCAATCAATGTTTCGTAAAACATGTGATAACAACTGGAAGGTTGGAGGAAAGGGGCATTTGTGAACATTAGTTTTTAAGTCTCGTCACAGATTATTTGTTGGATTTAGGTTTAGATTTTGACTGGAAAACTCTAACAGATGCATTTTCCTTGATCTAAACCATTTCACTGGATCATCAATGCTCATGGCTGCACCATGACAAAATGTGGAAATGTTTAAGATGTAAGAACTGTAGGGAAATAAAAGTCACAGGGGAGAAGATGGTTAAGGTTTATGTATGCAAGCAGCTGACCTGGGTCGATACATTAGATCTTAGAGGTAGATTCATATTTCCAACTCCACCCATCTGGTTCATCACTGGCTGACGGTTCTACAGAAGACACAAAAACCCAAAGCTTGAACAGAACCAAGACTTCATCAGACGGCTCTGTGTGAAGGCCAGAAACTGTCTAACATGGCTAGTAAAGTTTAACAGAAATCACAGTCATAGACCTCAAATGATGAAAAAAAATGAAGCCCATTAAACGTTGATAGACATTAAAATCATACAGGAAGATTTTTCCACTTGACAAAAAGCTAAAGGGGGATTTTTTGTTTTGACCAGAAACAAGTTGTCAAAATTCTGCTCATGATTATCATCTTGCAATTTGAGTAACAATTATTTCAGTCACAATGATCAATAAATCAATTTAATATGCTCCAAATGTATCTGTATATTTTTCTTTGTCTATTAAAATAATAATAACAAAGTTAGTGATACTGTCTTTTGTCATATTCATGCCAAAGGTGTCAGAAAGTGCTTTTCCTCAACCTTCCACCAGATGGCAGCTTGTCCCAATATCACAAATTACAGCAGTGAAGAGTCTTTCGTCAAATACTTTGTTTCGCGCGTTTAACAGTAATAAAAAGGCCAGATTGTGAATAATAAGTATCTATGGAGTTTGTGCTGGAGTTTGCTTATTGCAAAGTGTCCCAGGGACACTATGCTGATTAAACAGGAAAGGTGAAACGTTTTTTTTTTTTTGTTTTTTTTTTGCTGCAGTTTAAACCCAGTGAACCCCAACCTGTTTGCTTCGGTGAGTCTTCTTTACTTAGAAAAATGGTTGCAGTTTCAGAATGAAGTTGAACATTCTGACATGGTTTCAGATTAAATGGCAATGAAGAAGATAAGCACTGGATTAAAAAGAGACATACTGAATTTTTAAAATGGTATTTAGAGAATAGAAGCAACAAATTAAATGACTAACTGCAGTAAAACAGACAAACCTTCCCTTTTGAAATATTGATAACAAGAATAAGAACTAAATGGCTTTAAAAAAAAATAAAAGGACATTCTGAGCCACATCTTATGCGACTCAGATTAATCATATTACACCACTTATCAGATCATTTTGTGCCACGTTCACTTCTTCTTGACCTTTCAGATTTGCTTATTTAACCATTAGTTAATATCATGTGTGATTCCAGAGGGTGATTACGTTTTTTTTTGTATAGTAAAAAAACATTAGTAAAGTCCCAGCAACAGTTTCTGCATATTAAGTTATGCACCTTTGTATACCAGACTGTGTTCAGCATGGAACCACAGTGAGGTCCAGCATAACAGTGTTCAGCACTGTTTTTCCTAATTGTACCAAATGCCGGGTCATATAAGCAACCACATTACAGTGGTTGCAATAATTTAAATTAATTACATCTAAACTGTAATTAAAATGTTAACATTTAAATAGCACCCCCATCCACTATTTTTTTTATGTTTGTCTTTACTTGCATATTGTAGAAAACATATTTATAGATATTCACATAATGTCTGCAGCATTCAATTTTAATCTAAAGTAACAGCAGTGTTAATATTTAGCAGGAATATTAGGATGTTTAAGATGACCTCGTAGTTAAACATTAAAAACTACAATGTTTTCCTGCCATGTAGACATTTTTTTAAATTAGTAAAATCCATATATTACAAATTTTACTTAATTTAAAGCTGAAATATAGAAAATTTGCTTTTACACATATAATTTAAAAACAAATGGTTTAAATGCCAAAGCAGAAATATTTTGTGCTAACCTGCACACATTAATAAAAAAATAAATATTGGCTGCTTTTATCAGAAGCTTCAAAACTAAACAGAGGTGATGAAGGCGGCGCCTACCAGCTGGGCCTGGAGTCTGTGCTGCAGCTGGAGCCTCAGGTTGTTGGGCTGCGGCGGCACCATTGGATTGGGACCAGCAGGTCTCATGCCAGGGGCCCGGGGCCCTGGGGCGCCCGGCATTCTCATCATGGGCGGGTAGCCTGTCGGGGCCATCCTTTGGGGCCCCATGTGGCCCCCCATGGATGGGGCAGGGTACAAGCCGTCAGGGGGCATGCCGCCATAACCGGGCTGCCCTCCATACTGCTGACCATAGAGGGGAGGCTTCAGGCCGGAGGGAGAGTCCGACGGACCCAGGTACTGGTCCTGCTCTGAAAGAGGACCCTGCAGAGGGAGATGGAGGTTTTTGTTTTTGTTATACAACACCTGGAAAAAGTACCAACATAGTTTGAGCTTTTCAATATTTTGTGGCAACAAAGATCAATTTTATTAGGACTTTACAGACAAACACAAACTGATGTGAAACTGTGAAGCAGATGAAAAAGTTTAGACAGAAACCTTTTAGACTACTTTGAAAATGTAATTGATCTTATTGTACTGTTTGATTACTAAGATCAGTTGGAATGTATGTATGTTTGAAATTAAATTATGTTTTGTAAAGTGCTTTGAGATGATATTTACTGCAAATTATGAATAAAACTCAATTGGATTGAAAAATGATGCATAATTTGAATTCAAATCCACAGTTATAAAAAAAAAATTGTCATATTGTTGTTAATAGTTAAAAAAAATGAAACTATTAGAAAACCACCAGTCTCTCCCTGTCCACGTCTCAGTTATGCACCGCTGTGTTTGTTCTGTCACATTGAAAATCCAATAAAAATGCTAAACAAAAACACTGAAATTCATGATTGTAATGATTAAAAACAAAGAGTTAAGGTGTATTTGTATGGAAGTTCAGTATCCAAAGTTTGTTTATTTTAATGAAGAATGTTATCAATTCAAAAACATTTCATTGTATTGTTGGTTTATTCTCAAAACCTCAATATGGGTGAAGTTTATTTGTCAGGAACAATACATATAAAAAATAATACATGCTAAATAATGCAGGTCCAGAAATGCATTCAGGATTTCTGGCGCTGTCTCTTTAAGGCAAACTGGACCAAGCTCACCTGTCCAGCCAGAGTGGGTATTCCCAGCATCTTATCTATCTCCTCCAGACCCTCATAGTCCTTCAGCACCGAACACAGCTGGTTCAGCAGAGCGCCTTCATCCGTCTGCCCTTCAGAACCAGAACCACAGCAACCCATCCCGTCCTCCTGAGGGACGCCGTACGGTGGCCTGCAAGGTAACTTCTCATCAGACTAAACTAAACCAAAACTCGTTCTTCCTTTATGCTTTAGGCTGGACTGAATGTCAAACCTGCTTTGGTTTCCGTAGTGGTCCATCATCATCATTCGGTCTGGCCACGGAGCCGTCTGATTGGGCGGAGCCTGCTGCTGGTGGTAGGGCGGAGCTGCCATGTCCAACTCTAAGGTGGCAAACGAAGGAAAAATGTCAACGTCTGCACAAAATGGAAGCCAGTTTGGGAGCGTCTGACTGGTTGATTCTTCCCACCGTTGCCTATCATCTGCATGCTGACCAAAGCTCTGGAGACATTTGGACCACTGCTTCTTGTGGGGAGTGCAGAATTCATGTTGGGTACCATTCGACCCACTCCATGGGCCATCATGGGTCCTGCACTGCCCCCTGTTGGACCATGGGGGCCCCAGCCCTGCTGCATGGAGCCTCGAAGGCCTGCCGAAATAAAGATGTCATTTCATTTTTCATAATTAAGAGATACATTTTCCACTTTCCCAAAGCTTTGGGGAAGACAAAGTGCTTAGAAATTCACTGACTGTTCAGTCTGACCTGTGTTGGTTGCTGCTGCCTGGTTCATGCTGGTGTGGGTTCCCATCATGCTTTGCTGCTGCAAGGAATATGGCCCAATGTTTCTGTGCTGAGGAGGGAAAGGCCTGGTGGGGCTGGAGCCCATACTGCTGTCCATTGACATGCTCCGGCCTGGAGGGGCCCCCTGACCGGCCTGGCCCGGCCTGACGCCATTAAAGCTCGCTGCAATGACAAAATGTTTTCATTCCTATTAAAATTTTGGTAGGAGTGATTAGATTTAATCCATCTGATTTATTTTAAAGACCTGGACATACTGAAACATCCCGTTGAGGACGTACCTGCGGCTCCGATGGGAGGGAAGGCTCTGTGCTGGCTGGGGGAGCTGCTGCTGCTGCCGGTGTCGTTCATCTGCAGGATGTCAGTGATGATGGTCTGTTTGTCCACAGAGGAGCCAGCTGGCACGGCTGATGAAGAGGATGAAGAGGATGGAGGCTGACTGGGGAACAGCTGCTGCTGGCTGCTGTTTTGCAGGTCCTCCAGCAGGTCCTCCAGCTCAGATGCCTGGAAGTAGCCGCAATTATAAAAGCAATTTATTACAGAGATTTATTTCCATGACATCCTCTCATACTCAAGACATTAATGAAAATCCTGCTAAGCAAATTTTGAGATCAATCAAAACTGATTTGCACAATTAAACTGCAGAACATTGCCTTTTATCAGAGAAATTCACATTTCCACTGAATCCTTTACAAGAAAAGTTCGGTTTTAATAAGATTTTAAACTAAAACTACTTCATCTGATCCTTAGAGGAGAAAATCTTAATATTCTAAAAGATTTTCTTGTTTTAAAAAAGGTATTGATGTAACAAATGGGCATCCTGAATTTAAGATGCCTCTCCTTTAAAACATGTTTGGTTTAAGTTCAGATTGTTTTACATTTAATCTACATCATTTTATCACATTTCATTTCACTTTATTTAATTTCATTTTACTTTTAGTCTAGGTTTTTTACTTTTTTACATGTTTCTTTATTTTCTTTAACTTTATTTAAATGCATTAAAATACATTTATTTTCTAAAATGTTTTTTTTCTTCTCCAAACTGATTTTAAGCAAAGAATCATAAGTCAAGTCTGATGACAACTTTGACAGAAACGGAAATCCCACTCAACCAGTAACACATCGTAACCCAACTCTTTATACACACACACACACACACACACACACACACACACACACACACAGAGTGGACAGATATGGTTTCCTAGGGCCGTTTGGCTGATGAATAGAGTGGAGAGCTAAAAATAAGCTTGCAGCACTAATGAGGTCATGTGTGATGTACAGTAGGACACACAGAGGTTTGGGAAGCTTTACATGTGAGGACAGCAAAATATTTAGAGGTTATATTTGAAATCATTGGCATAATGGTCGACAAAAGCACTGCATCTGCATCAATGCAATGAGACACAACATATCATGAGACAATATGATAAACACCTCCTCTTCCTTTTGAACTACGCCTCCTATTCAATTTTTTTAATTTGATATTTTACTCCATATGTGTTTTTCTTTGGTGCAAAAACACCTAAACTGAGCAATACTGCAATATCATCAGCAGATGATTTTAAAACATACTTTCCTTGGACAGCAGGAGGCTGTGGTGGCCGACCTGACAGTGGCCTCAAGCGACTGTCCATGTTTGAAGTGTTGATGAAATGACTGAGTGCTTTTCTTGTCAAAATCCAGCAAATCATGACAGTGGTTGAAGTAAATTAGTGTTCAGATGTGGATATTGTAAATGCAGTTGATACAGATCAAAGATTGATTAGTTCTAATTCTTATAAAACTTAACTGCATGTCAGCTCCCAATCTTTTTTGTTTAAAAAACAATAGTTCAAGAAATTGAAATCTTTAGGAAGAATAAATTATTTTGCTTTCTGCATTTTTCTTATAATTCCAATAACTTAACTGATGTTTCTCTATCTTTTAAAAACTGCATGATATTAAACTATCCAAATTTACATTTAAATATTTTTGGTAAACTGGTAAGTCACAATCACAACAGATTTAATAACCACTTAACAAACCCCCTTCATGGAAAAGGCTTTCTTTTGTGGAGTTTGGGTAAAACTCTCTTCTTCTCTGGCTCCAACTTCCCCTTCGCCGGACGCACCACTGGTCGGGTGGTCAGATCCTTTGTTTGGAAACTGAACCTCTGCCATCTGCCTTTCACTCATTGAACTGTCTTAACATTTGCCAATCCACATGCTCTTTCCAAACAAAACAAAAAGTGCAAACTCAATGAACTTTGCTTTACATGACATCACGTAAAGCAAAGTTTTAGTTTCTGTAAATTTACTCTGGACTCCTGTCAGCTGCAAGTAAGACTGTTACTAGTCAGAATCACTTTAAACAACCTGACTTTTAAGGTCAAGGCAGGGCTGTGGATCTGGGCCGGTGTTTGCACAGGACCTGGCCTCTTTAATATTCTAGAGTGGCCAAATGAGCGGCCATCTAGTTTGAAGATATTAACCCAATCAAAGTCCAAACCTCAACTTAATAGGAAAAGCCTAACTTAAATGTTTGTCCACAGGTTTCAATAAATTACAAAGGTCTGTTAACTGGAGTAAAACCATTTCCTACTGAACCAATGGGAAAGGCCATAACCATAACCCTACCACTGAAAAAGACGGTTTAACTGATGCAAGGTGTTTGCTAAGTTTGTCACATGTTGTTTCTACATCTTCTTTCTTTGTTTCAGTAAAATAAAAGGACAGTGTAATAATTTATGTACATTTCTCACTTTAATTCCTGAGTATTGAGGCATGATGAAGATGTAGAAGTTATTTTTTCTTGTTTTTTTGCCAAGTTTCATCAAAATTACGAAAGTCAATCTAAATGAAAGCTCTACCCAGATAAGTTAAGAGGTAGACACCGTGTAGAATTAGATTTTTCCTCTCTAGATAAACTGCCTGAATTCTTACCTGCTCAGCCAAATTAAAACCTTCATCCTGCTTCTCCGTCTTAACGCAGGTCAGCTTGAGTCCGTCGTTTGGTTCCATTTTGATGGCTTTGTCGAGGATGCCATTATCATCCTTATCCAGAAGATAGCGCAGCAATGCATTGTCTTTCTTTCCCTGGCTCCCCGGCTCCTGTTTGGTGCAGAGTTCACTAAGAGCAGCCATGCTGTCCCCTGAGGCGGACTCTGGACCAATAGGATCTTTTCCCGTAGCCTCCGCCGTTAGCTTGGCCAGCTCCACAGGTGAGGTGCTGTTCTGCAGCAGCCGGTGGAGAATTTTGTGTTTCTCCTTTAATGAGGTGGTTTGGTTGTTATGTCCGGCGCCTCCACACAGCTGGTCCTTACAGCTCTGGTCATCTCCTATGGGACCTGGTGGTGAGGAAGGATCAGAGGGTTCTAACTTAGTGGTGAGGAGCTGCAGCAACTTGGTGTGGCCTTTGGTGGTCAGATGGTGGTTTGCAGCATCAGCAAGATCACCAAGGTTTCCGTTACCGCCCAGAGTGTCAGGATCAACATCTTTCCCATCTGCCTGTGAACCGTCATGGGATGACAAAAACTCTTCCTGCTCTTCAAAAGTTCCAAACAAGTCAGTCTCTAAGCTGAGACTGCTCTTGCTAATTTGGCTACCAGGTTTGTTGCTGTGAAGATTACTCTGAAGAGCGGCTGGTTTTCTGTCAGGTGACTCTGGATGCTGTCCGTCAGCGAGCCCTGGGGAAATCCTGGTGCCCTGGCTGAGAGCCTGCAGCGCGCTGAGGGAGTTAAAACTTTGGTTGTTTCCTGTGGTGCTGCACACGGATGGAGGTGAATGCAAACCAGCTGCAGGGGAAAAAGATCCAGGCAGATGTTGGAGGAGATGAGGGCTACTGCAGTTGCTGCTACTTGCGGCAGCGCTGGGACTCTGGCGATGACGAGGAGACAACATGGCACTCTGGACCCCTGAGCTGACGCTTGGACTTCCTTGGCCAGAAGGGCTGCCCAGCTTCAGAGCGTGGCCGTTTCCCTGAGGTGTGATGGCCCTTCCTGGAACAGACCCAAAACCACGTCCAGGGGTGGAGGAGGCTCCGGTGGAGTGATGGCTGTTGCCGGCAACGCTGGCATCAGGTGAGGGGAAGGACCCGCTCATTCTTGTTGGGGTCACTGACTTGGCCGAGTCCTGACCACTGGGAATGTCTGTAGCCATGCCCCCCAAGTTTTCCCTGGAAGAAAAGTTGAGAACTGGTTTGTACCATTTGAGTTCAAAGGAGCTTTTTTCTTTTGACTTTTTAATGTGCACAGTATTCCCAGATATGATTTTCAGTGGGTGTTTGATGCAGGACTGCAGTGGCTGACGGTTTTACTACCAGGTTTGTGTGTGAAAGGAGAGTAAAAGTCAGGAAAGGGGGGGTTACCTCTGCAGGATGTGCAGCGACATATAGAGCTGCGGTTCATTGGTGCCTGGAGAACGGACCAGTTTGCTCTTTGTGTGAGCAGAAACTATGGTGCCGTCTGCCAGGGAGAATCTGTACAATGGGCTGAGGGCATGGCCGTTCTTCAATACTGCATACAGACAGAGAAAAAAACAGGGTGTCGATTAAAGAAACCTGCTGTGATATTTGATCATTTTGGATCTGAGAGATCCAAAAACTCAAAATGTAATGTAAATTTTGTGAGGAGACATTATGCCAACCTTCTTGCTGGTGTTTCTTGGCAATGGAAATCTCCCCGTCACTCTGCAGGTGGAACTTCTGGATGCAGCGCCGGACCAGGTCTTCCCAGCCCGGCTTCATAGATGCCCGAAGCACACTGGTGTCCAGAGAGGTGATCTTACCTGAACAGGTTAACACAACAAATTGGTTTCTAGAATTTTACAGATAAAAAATAAGCCTTTAGCCTAACCTTGCCTATGAACACAGAGCATGTTCGTTTTGAGTGCCAAATGTAAATATGTAGACTAATATTATGTTATGGAAATTGACTCACACAGTGCGAAACTTCACAGTATTTTAACAGCCCAGTGCGTCAGTCATGCCGTACCTTGAAGGTCCTGTCGTGTTGTGAAGCTCTCGTACGCCGGCATCACAGGCCTCTCTTTGACAGGAACTCTTCTCGCCACACAGATGAGACACGACTGGAAATCTGTATTGTTGAGGAAACACTGTCAGTAATTCCATAACTATATATGGCAAAGGCTACATCACAACACACAGCAACACTGATCTCATCCAGGCTTGGATTTTCCTACTCGGCTGTGTGTGGCCGTTTCTGTTGGATAGAATTATTTTACCTCTGAGCCCTTTATAATTTTAGTATTTTCACAAATTAGAAAACATCGCCAGCTGTCTGTCCAGAGCTCTACATTATTTGCATTAATAAAAATTAAAAACACGTCTGACCTAATAATCAACAGCCATCATTAACTTCCTCGTTTCTACAGTCCTGTAAACAAATATCGACTCATTATTTTTTTACATTTTGCTTCTGAAGGTTTCTACTCATCTTTTTAAGTGGGTTAATCAATAGCTTTCCAATTATTCTCAGAATGCTGTTTTCCACCAGTGTTGTAAGAAGAGTTTTCAAAAGAAATTACATTTTATTACATGTCAAGATTCTTCTGCAGTCATTCAGGAGGAGAGGAGAGAGATGCATGATCCTAACAGAGAGTTCATGTTCAGAAACCTTCCACTTGGTCTGAATTAACAAGATTCATTACTGACAAATAAATCAAAGTCTATCTGGCCGTACTAACAAGTCAACCAACAGAGTGATGCAACTTCAAGTCAGCCTGCAAACCTCTGCCTGTCCACCAGATATCCTCATCATGTCAGGGGAGAGATTGGCAAAATATCTGGCTGTCAGACGTCTAAAATTAGAGTGGCAGACACATTCTTCTCCCCCGTGTTCATGTGTGTGTGACTGGATTAGATGGGAAGCTGACAAAGTGCCACACACTAATTAGTCTCTCCCAGTAGATGGGAGGGGAGGCAGAGAGAAGTGGTGACGGAAGGAGGACAGGACACAGGAGACTGGGAGGGCAGCACTGGGACGAGTGATGGGAAAGTGACAGAAAGTCAAGGCTCAGACGAAGAGATGAGGAAAAGCAGCAGAAAATGATTTCTTGAGCAGTGGAAATGTGTAAAGAAAATTCACAAACATAACAAGATGGTTTTCGAAAGGCAGACCAAATCCAGGTAAAAAAGAAGAACCAAAGCAATTTTCGGCTAATTAGCAGAACAAACAAGAATGAGAAGAAAAAACATTTAAAGTACAAAATTAAAGACAAGGTTAGAAAAACAAGCACACCTTCCCCCTCTTCCTTGATAGACTTTGGTTCAGAGACGGCGAAACACTGCATGGTCTCGTATTTCTGCTGCGCTGCGTCCTGCTGATCGACGGCCTGGCGCGCTTCGCCGTCGGCGTGAGGGTTGACCAGCATACGACAGTTAAAGGTGTGACTGTTCCTGTTGGAGGAGTCGGTGCTGCGATGACTGACTGCATGACAAAGACACACAAAAAAACAGGAAAATGTAATAAACATAATTATTTAGGATGTAAAGTTTGTTATGAATCTACTGTCCAATACAACACAGTTGACAAGTTTAAAGAAATCAGAAACACTAAAATGACACTAAAACATATTACTTTAGAAGAATTTAGAGATTTTTACAAAATATGCTCACAGAAGAAAAGTTAACTTACACACTTGAAAAGCTTTTGGAAAAACTCCAAAATGAGGTAAATACACTATATTGTGACAAATTTACCAGTTTCCTCACCCAGACTCTTAGGCAAAAGGTTCTTGATGAACTCTGCATGGTCTCCAACATGCAGCACACTGTAGACGCTGGTGTTCATCAGCTCCTCCTGCTGGTAGCGCAAATACTGGCTGACGTTCTCCGACACAAACACGATGTTTCCCTCCATGTTCACAACAAAGAAGAAGCCGTCCAGGGCCTGAGGGGAGAAGAGATTGGCAAAAGTGACGGGCATGATGGTAAAATGTAAAAAAGGATAAATGACAAAGAGAAAGAAAAAAGATAATTAAACAGATCTGGGGAAGTTTAGGAGTGGAAGTAATAAGGAAATTAATTAATTGCAAATACGGTTTATTTGGTTTTATTAAGAGAAAAGAATAAACATTGATGATAAGAAGCTTAGCTCAAAATATATTGTAAAACATTTATGGCTTCATAATGAAACTCAACATTTTGTTGGTAATAATAATACATGCATTGTATTTTAAAAATAAATATGCCAGAAACATTACCTGAGTTACATAACTTTATTCTGTGCAGAATATTAAGTAGCAAAGGAAAAGCTGGTATAGAAAATGGATGGATGAATATATATCTATAACATTGTGAAAATTAATAAGTTCAAAGGAGGAAACACCTTTGCTGCATTTCATTCTGTTTTACATAACTCAATCTATGCAAGCATTTATTTGCACTGCTGCTGAAAAAACATAAATTGAAATGTTGACTGCATGTTAATGTTTATCTTCCAGACCCCAAGCAGACACCTTTGCCAACGTTGGTGCTTCTGAATACTATATATATAGTTAGTCTGTGTGTACGGGGTCAGGCTCCGCCCCTTCCTTTCTAATCTGGCTTTTCCCAAAGGTATTTATACCTCGCTGGGTCCCATGGTAAACGTCATCTCTCACTCGTGCACGGACACACTTAGGCTCCACTGTCAGTCAGCGGAGCTCTTATCTCCATTAGTCACGTGTAGAGCAACGCTAGATCCAGTCAGAAAGGTGTTCTAGGCTGAGCGTCTCCCTCAGGATGGAGTTTGTCCTGTTTGTTCAGGAGCATGGCTACACGTTGATGCATTCAGAGTGGATTAGATCTGGAGAACTGCTGCTCAGAGTACGCAGAGTAACTTCACCTTTAGATATGAAAGTAAAAACTGAATAACTGGATTACATTTCCAAATAGCATATTGATTTCCTGAGCTACATTACATTCAAACGACACAGTAATAGAGCCATTTAAATATAAGATTTTACATATTATGCGTATATCTGGGTATTTTTCTGTACTTACATTTTGTTTTCATTTAATAAATAATTATTTATCTGTGCTGTGTCTTTTTGTACAGCTAAGGTTAGGAAAGGGGACTTAGACACATGCAGATGATCTAATAATTATTATGAAATCTAAATAAGTTACTGGACTACTTCAAGAATGGCAGCACTCACATCTGCAGCAGCCTGTCTTTTTCTAGGAAAATCAAGTTGGTTTTTGACTACACTCTAATAAAGACTTTTTCATTATTATTTTATTAAAGATAAGGATGGCCTTCAGGGAAGTATGTAGGGCAGAGAGAGTGACATGCCTATCTCCTGAGGGGCGGCCCGACAGGCTGAACTGGCCCAGTGAAGACGTACGTAATGTGGTGTCTTCGAGATAAAGGCTGGGCAGCCGAGACTAGTTCAGAGTTGACTGAAACATTACACTATTGCTTTTCTCTGCCCACAAAGAGCATTTCCTCCAGCAGTAAAGAGACTGCTGTGTTTTTGTTTACTAGTGTTCCCATAGCAACATGTCTGGCACTAGAGCTTCCCATTAGCTCATTTTCAATCAAGATGGCAGTGCAGCGCGTCTACTGTGAAATATGTTAATCCTGTGGTGAGTAACCGATTTAAAAGTTGATCTGGTAATGGCAGAGGAGGAGCCAGCCATGGAGGCTGGTTACCATGGAGACTGATCGCAGATTGCTGCACAGGTATTACTGCTGGCCAAGGAGTCACACCAGGTTCCTACGCAAATCTTCCAGGAAGTATCATCACTTTCAAGAAAGAATGAGAATTTTTGTTTGATTTTCTAACACCAGAAGAAAGACTCGAGAAATTACAGGTTTCATTAAAGCAACTTTTAAAGTTATTCCTGTTTTGATTTATTTTTTTTATTATTTACCCTAACAATAAGATCAAAGTTTGTGTTAGAAGTCTGCAGGATTGAAAACCCGTTGGTGTAACATGCTTGATCCCGCGTGAGCATCTTCCACATTAGATTGCACTCACATTCAAGGTAGGAAACATTCACAAAATATTGAGAGATGGGTTTTAAAAAACATTGACAGTTGGACCTACCTCCAGCATCATTGGCCCGAGAGTGTCTTTATCGATGACGGCCTGCCCAGTGGAGGAGACGTCTGCCTTCTGCACCTCCTCTGCATTAGCCACCAGAGTCTTTTCTGTGATGAGAAACATAAAAGCAGGTGGTTCAAAAGGGGATCAGGGGATTTTTGTCATGTTTTTATCTCTTGTCACCTTTAAGTTAAGATAATAGAGCCTGTCAGTGAGAAAAGAATGTTATAAATGCTTGAATAATTAATGCTGTGGTCAAAGGGACATGTCAAATCTGAAGACACAGATCAAAATAAATAATTTTGTATGTTAAATGTCTCCTTGTAGGAAAAGCAGTTTGTTATGGTAAAGCTTTTGCCGTAGGTTGTCTGTTTAAGCAGACAATGCTGACAGTGTTGTTTTTATCTTGATGAAGCCGTCACCCACGCACCCACTTTGTGTTTTCATACACAGGGCATGAAGACCTTCCACATGTTGCATTCTTTGGAAAGCCGTTCTCTTCTGGTAAAGTTAACCTCACGGTTATACCTCAACTCTAAAACAAAGAGTGGAAATCAGTGAGAGGACATGGAGATTTGAGTGGCTGGCATGGTTTTCACAGCACGGCTCACTGCACAATTTTCCTGTACATTTTTGCACCAACTTTTTCCCTTTCCTTCATGGCCGTACCACCGGACTGTTAAGCCTCCCATGGCCCCATTCGGCCACATAGCTGACATTCCTTTTGTGGGACTGGAGCTGTGGAGTCATCAGCCTTTAAAACTCTGTCACTGCAGAGCCTGGAATGGCACTACAGTGCAAGCAGGAGGGAATTCAAGGCATTGCCAACGTTTATTTAATCCATAAAATTTGTTATTACAATTTATTTCACCAGACTTGATTTTATGTTTGAGTTTCCTATTTTATTTCCTCAAAAAGAACAAAAGAATCATCTCTAGTGAATAAATTAAAACAAATCCTCTGTGAATTTCTCGACAGCTGACATCTTTCAGGATTGCCTATAAACAACTTAACAGTTTGGTGCCGCATATCTTCCTTATTATCCAGTGCACAACTCATTAGCTCAAATTAACTTCATTCAGCAGCACTTCCAGCACACGAGCCAAGCAGCAGTTTTCATTTACACAACTCATAAAAGCAAGGGATATTCAGCTTTCAGATGAGCCGAAACCACAATGTAACCTTTACAGGTGAACTTAATGTGACCTTCCTTATACTTTTGAATCCACATGTCCAACAGTTCAATGTTCAAGTACTTCCTGCACAACTTGCTGTTCTCCAACAAGAAGCTTAACGACTAAATACACAAGTGTTTGATTCATGAATCAACCAATACATTTTCTTTTTCAGTCCGAATTGGTATTTAAATGGCAACCATACTGCTGACATTTTGACATCATTAGACCAAGATGACATCTAACAACTGATCCACAGTACATCACCATTGCCAGGTTTCAAAGAGGATGCTCTCAGACGGAAGCAGCCGCTGAGCTTAGAGTGTCATCAGAAGATTGCAGCAGAGACAAAGAGACACATAAAGAATCATAGAAACGAATAGAAACGTCCAGTTCAATGACACTTAACTCCCAGGAAATTTCAGGGAGGTGAGAGGCACCCAGGAGTCACGTCAGACCTGCAAGGCACCTGACCACAGCGCAGTCCGTTAGTCTCAGTGCTGTTCTATGATGTGCACCAGCCACCGCTGTCACCAAATGAGCCTTTGGTGTCAGTAGTTTTACTGTGTGGACAGGTGTGTTTAGTGAAAACAGAACTGCCCTTCATTTTGTGAATGCTTTAGTGAAAAGTCGATACTAACTGAATAACAATCCATTGAACCATTGTCATTGCACCCTTGTATGAACAACCCAGACCTAATCTCATCTTTATGGATGACAATGCATCATTAGGGAACAGCAGCTGTAAACTGTTGAACCTGTAACAAAGTGATCTGCATTTTCTCCAGACCTGGATCCCATAGAAAAGGCCTCAGACCAGCTGAGTCATCAAGTAGAGGTTTGTAACTGTACCCCAGACCCTCACTGACCCGAGGACCGCCCCTCATGAAGAGTGGGACGCCTCAGCAGACAATAAGTCGACTTGTGAACAGCATGAGACGTCGTTGTCAAGCTGTAATTGAAGCAGCTCCGCAAGGCCACATGGTAGTGAGACATTGAGATTTTTTGTTTTGGCACAACCCACTGTTGTTGGCTTTTGTTCCAATACATTGTGTGACTGAGGGGACTCATCATTGTATGCTTCTACTTAAATACCCTACTTTCATCGTGTCATTGTATTGAAGTTTGCGAGTTTTCCATTAATTTTACCCAAAAGCCAAAACTCCCTAACTTTTAATGAGTTATGTCATTTGGATAATGGTTATGAATAAACAGATTGGTCATGAACTTTGATGATTTTGTGTCAGTCTGTCCTAATAATATTGTTTTTTCTCTCTCTGGTGGTGAAACTTCAATCAGTGCAGCTCTATCTGACATTTCAGGTACAAAGTATTTACATCTAACAAACTAAATATTAGGAATTGCACCATACCATTTGTGTAGCATTTGTATCCTACACAAATACATGCATTTATTCCTTTGCAATCTGAGTGCGCAGTTAACCTAAAGATTAGTGTAAAAACTAAACTGGAAACTGATTTGAGCACAGGATGAACATTTTTCCAGTAGTATTTTCTTCATTCTCTATTCCTTTTTACTGTTCTTAAAAAAATCTGCTCATCAGCTAAATGTTCCTCAACAATGGTGTGTTTTTCTGCTGTTGACCTCACAGCTGTGTGACTTGAGCATTATCCCCGTGCTTATTCAGCTGTTGTTTTCAGATGCAAACAGTGCAATGACACATGGACACCAACTGGGTGACTGCAGGCACAAAAGGAGGAGATGAGCAAGCGAGAGATGAACAGATGAAAGGAAAGATGACAGGACGCGCGTTCAAGTCCGAAGTTTCTACACTCACAACAGGCATGAATGTCGTATGTGTATAAATATACATTTTGAGTTATTATGGAGTCTTTTCAAGAACATAAAAATGAATAGAATAATTTAAAACAAAATAACTTCCACACAGTAAAGATGAATCCAATCATTTAAATCATTTAATAACTGGTGATGACGTTCAGGTGCAGCTAGTAGTTAGTAGCTAGTAATGTAATTTTTTGGCAACAGTCACTGGACTGAACAGACTCTAGAATAACAACAAAATCCAAGTCCAGAAATGATTTTAATGATTTTATGTCTGAGTTGCCTTCCTCAGGGCAAAAATACTTGAAAGAAATTTCTAATTCTTACAACACTAGATCTCATCTGTCAAACATGGTGGTGGCAGCATCATGCTTCAGAGCTGTTTTCAACCCAAAATAAATGCAGTTATGTGTTGTATAATGTTAAGTAAATATCAATGAAATCACCCAAATTGCTTTCACATTCATGTCCATATTTTTTGTATTCAAACTTGGAGCTGTGGGTTAAAAAGAACAAGATTAGAAAATAAAAGAAAAATCTAACCAGGTAAAAGTGCAGATATTAAAAAGAAAGGATGTCTCCTTTCTTTTTAATATCTGATGTGTTCTCCATTGCAACAGAAAGAAAGAAAGCAAAAATGAAAAAACTGAAGGGAGAAAATGTGTTTAATGAATAGAATAACCAAGACAAAAGAAAAAAAGACCAAGAAAAAGAACTGGAACCAAACAGGAAGAGGAATCAAGTAAAGAGAAAGAGAGAAGATTGCAGACAAAATTTGAAAAAGGAGGAAGAACGAAAATAATGAGGAATCCATTAAGTGATTGCAAATATTAAAATGATGGTTTGTAAAATTGTGACATTTATGCAAAGAGGATTAAATAAGAGGCAGAGGAGTGTAAAAAGGTGAGAACATTGTGAAGAAATAGTAAAGCTTAAGAGAAAGTGAGGGACAGATCGGAGGAGCAGATCCTCCTGCTTCTCTCTGCAGGCTCATTTCATGTTGGTCACTGTTATATAAGCGCTCCAGCAGAGGCTGTCTCACCATTACAGTCCTTTCACAGTCTGTGGGCTCCCACTGTGAAGGGGATTGCTTTCTATTTACTTTTTAAAGTTAAGGAGTCTACATTGGCTCTTGAGATTTCAGTTTTATAAACATCAGTTCTGAGCTCTTCTAGTACCCACAGCTATCACACTCTCTTCTAGCAGATGTTCCCCTTTCATGGCGGGAAACACTGGAAGGCCCACTTAGTGATAAATAAATGGTTATCTGAGAAAATAAGCTGCTTGTGACACTCTAATGGAAAAACAAATTAAATTGCTTATGCAGCCTTTCAATTTCTTTATTCAGGACATCTGAAACTGGAAAGTCCAGAAACTACCATAACAAAAACCCCATTAATGAGCTGGGAAATGTGGCACCTGTTCTAAAAACTGCCTTAAAATTAGTTAGCGCTAATGGCTAACAGTTAGCATCCAATCAGCCCAAACTCAGTGCTGATCATATAAAATGCTGTTCTGAGGATTTTCCCCAACAGTTAAACATGTTGCCTTCAGGAACAGCTGAAATTTTCTAAACCTCAACATTGATCGTTTTTTAACTAGAAAAATATGATGTGAACTGCCTTGTTGCTGAAATGTGCAATAAAAATAAACCTTAAGCGGTTAAATTGGTGTATGATCTTGTCTATCCAGGCTATGCCTGCTTATGCTACTTTATTCACTGAAAAACATCCAAACCAATATCCAGTAAATTCTATACTTTTTAAATTTTAGACAATATTAATCGAAATAAATTCAGAAATAGAAAACTATTCTTTGTTTACTGCTGCCCAAGGAAAAATAAAATCATATTAATAATTTTCTTGATTTCTCCGCTCTGAATAGGTACAAAGCAGTGATTTTTGTGAAGCAATGTTCTCCTATTTAATCTTAGCAGGGCTGAGGATCCAACACCAAATCCTTCAAAAAAAGAAGAAGCGACACAAAAGCTCACCCTGCTCCTTGATCTGCCTGATCTGCTTCACCGTCTCTTTGAGGATGGCACATTTGTCGGGCTTGACGTTGAGGTCGTCGATGTCGTTGATGTTGGCAAAGATCAGCTCTGCCAGCTCCTCGATGTATTTGTTCTCCTGCTCCCTGTTGCGCCTCTCGGTGCTTCGCTTCGGGCTGCAGGACAGCAAGGAATGACGCCAGAAACATGAATCAAACTCAACTGGAGAAAAAAGAACTAAGTGGTGGAAATTGTCAAGACAAACATCACTGTACAAAGCTGGACATTACATCTGAAAAGCTTTTGTCTTTGTGCGCTGACCAGCTTTTTTGTGAGACAAAGACCTGCCTGGTGACCCTGAATTAACTTTGTGACCTCTCAGTGACCTGACATTAATGAGAAATATGACCTCTGTGCAAAGAACTGAGCATCATTATGACAACTTGTGTCATTACATAAACTATTGTCTGTAAAAATGAACCACAACTGTTTACTTCCTGAACCACCATTAACAGCAATTCATCATTTATAACAAATGTGGAATAACTTTAAAGTGCTTTACATTTTGTAAGATAGTAATCTTTATGCATTTTTTCCTGTTCACTGGTCTTCATGGTGCTGTTTTTTTCTAATAGCATCTAAGAACCTTTTGTTTCCGTTTTTATACTGAGATTAAATTAGCTGTAAGAGAGAAAATGGGGTTGAAATGTAAAACTAATTTTCAGAATTTCATTTAAGAAAAGGTAAAATTTATGTACCAAATTGACTCTATTTAATTACTTTAAAATCTTAAGAATATAAATGGACATTTTTGTGTGTTTTTTTTGTTTTTTGCTGGTAACATAATAAAATGTAAAACAGGTCAAGGTGTACAAAGGCATTGTGTCTGTGCTTCGCCTAGGAGAAAAGATTTCAGATTTAAAACTAATGTCCAAATCCTTATTAGCTTTTCAGAGTTTGGTTTGTTCTCAGTTCTAGTTCATAACTTGAGAAAAGATGTCTCCCTTTTAAATCCTCAAGTAAAAAACCCCAAAGAATTAAAAAGGGAAGGATAAGAGACAAAAAGCACACTGTGAAAATGAAGGTACTGCTACATCTAAAAATGCTCTATCATTATCATTATTTCTTTTTTTCTTGAAGGAAGGTCTTTCACCTGGGTCCCAGGAGGTCTGACTGACAGTCTTTCCTCTTCACAGATTCCCCTTTGGGGGGCTCAGGAGTGTCCCCCCCACCACTACTCATCTTCAGCAGTTATCAGCACCTAAACCAAAGGAAGACAGGAAAGCAAAGCAGACACTTAGTGACAACACACCAAATTACACAGACAGAGCAAACCTTTGATTCTCTTTGACTCTTAAAGAGAATCAAAGAGTCACACAGCAGCAGAAATCAGGCTAATAAATCTAAACTTTGCTGTTTTTGTTTTATGTCTGACAAAAATACCCAAAAACTGCAGAAATCTGTAGGTCGGTAAATACATTTTCAGAGTATTTTATTTGGTCAGGACTCCTGACCAGGTCAGAGACCAGGGCTGTTTAAACAAGCCCTATCTGGACATGCCCATGACATATGACAGCAGCAGACTAATTAACTCCTAAGTTCAAACATCCATGTTTTACTTTCTTTATTAATAGTAATGTTTGCCTCATTACAATGTATACTCGTCTCTGAGTGTTTGAAGTTTCCAGTCATACAGGTAAGAAGACTTAAGATCGGATCCCTACAAATAAAAAAAGATGATGGTAAAGTTGAAAATTAAAAAAAAAAAAAAGTTTCAGTCAGCACAATAAATCACAATATTTAAAAAAAGGTAAATTTTAATCTCCCAGTGATGTAAACAGCCCGCAGAGTGCATTATCAAACACAGATTATGAGTCACAAAAAACAATGTACCACTGTAATGAGCCTGAAGGCAATATGTGGGCAGCCCAGTGGGAATACAGTGGGTGTCAGTAATTACTTCAGATAGAAATAGCTAATTCACGTAGGCACTCTCACTGTTCCCTCATTCACTTTAACATGTCAGACTCCAATATGAATGACGGTTGGGATGTTTGGGGAATATTCCTGTAATCTCAATCAAAAATAGGGACAAAACATAACTTAGGTCACACTGAAATAAAGCTTTCATGGAGCAAGAAAGATGCACCATATGGCCGTATCATGCTGCTAGACTTGCCCCCATATGGTTCAGTAAAAGGGACACAATTTAGTCATGTGAAATGCCAGGAAAAGCTTTTTTCTGGCCTGAGCTGCTGGTACAGTGGAGTCACAAAGCTGCTGGTGGAGGAATAACAATCAAAATCAGCTTTATTTGCCAAATTTCTGCACCCAAAATGAAAAAAAAAGAAACTTAAATAAAAAAAAAAGGGAAATAAATATATATTTTTTGTAAATATGTACGCATGCGATTCACACGTTGTGATCTGGAACTTCAGTAAAGGGCTATTTCACAGCTTTTAAGTTTCTGGGCTACTTTTATCAGCTCCGATTCAAAATCTAGACCAATCAAACCTGGACTAAATCATGGACTTGTGATTTAGTATGAATTAGATCTTGAGCTGCAGTAACAATATGAAGCAAGGCCCAGTTTTCATGATGCAAACAATTAATCTTGCTTTATCAATTTGTTTTTCTACATTTTCTAGCAAATTTTCTATTCTAGCTGATCTTTCTACCTCTGCCCTCTACCTCTGTTTGAATTACTTCATAGGCCTGCACAACGTACATTAAGTTGTACAAATATTTTCTATAACATGCCTTTAGTTGAACATGTGCTATAGATAAAGTTTGCAAAGCAACTTTTATTATTAAACCCACATTTTAGTGTTTATTACGTTCCAAAATAAAAATACACATTTCATTCCATCCTTTAAATGAACTTCTGAATACAACAACATGGTTGGTTGTGCAGGTTTGTTGTCTGAAATATATTTTAATTTACCATCTGCTTCCAGCTTGTTTCCAATATCCAGCTTCACATCATCCCCTGAGAACCAGTGAAGGAAATGACACCAAACCTCAGAAGAAGACACATAACTTCCTTCTATACAAAATGTAAACAAAACTGTAAAGCGTCTCTCTTTTGTTTTTGCAAGAGACCAGAATTCACTTTTTTGATCCACAGCAGAGTTTGATTACCGCTGTACACCTCCAAACGAGCAGGACTGGTGAAATGCACCTTAAAACCAAAGGCATGGCAACAAACATAATACCACATTCAGGACCTTAATAAAGAACAAGTTCTGACGCATTCAGTGAGCAATAGAGCCAATTTACTATTTTCCAACCAACCTGATGGCTAAAAGTAGAGATAAAGTGTTTCCAGTAAAGCTCAACGTGTTCCCAGACTCTCATTTCCCGCCATCAGTGTTTCTCTGGGCTTGCCTACAACTGGCATCCGCAAGGAGAATAAAATCTCAATTTTGTTCCTTTCAGTTCAAAAATATTAGAAAGGATCCGTTTTATTCTGCAAGAGTGCATCCAAGACAATCATGTTCACACAATCAGACAATGATGAAGAAGTCCAATAATTAAATGCAGGGGGGAGGTGGTGTTTATAGGGACAGTGGGCCTTTAAGGCCCTTCAACAGGCTGGGACACATCACCTGACAGTTACATAAGAGCTGGTCAGTGGGACTGATACTGCGCAGATGAAGGCAGAAGAGAGGGATAAGCAAAAGGGAAAACAACAGGGAGAGAGAGAGAAAGGAGATTAGCAAGAAAGAATCAGAGTAAGACAGAGAAGAGGGGGCAGAAATATTTTAAAACTGTATCAAGGGAAATATACGAACGGACGAGCCGTCAGTTTTTATGTGTCGTTAGGAAAAATGTTTCCGACACAGAAATTATGTTGACAAGAACAAATGCTGTTCAATGATACAGGCGGGGGTAAAGAGAGTGACAGCAGGAAGAAAACGGGAGGTGGGTCATTTGTTGCTCTAAATAATCAGGCCTGAAGGCAGAGGAAAGTATGGCCTAATTACACCATACGGGATGAGAGGACGGGAGGAAACGGGAGATAGCATGATACTGACAACACAAATGAAAAACTTTAAGACAACTAGTGCAGAAAGTATGTTAGTTAATATCATCAACGCTACTTTTCACGAACTTTCATGCTAACATCATGGTTTCAGCATCGAAAATCATATCTCTGTACACAGCGAGTGCAAATTTGGTAAAGCATTGTAACATCCATCATCTGATTGCCTGAAGGCAACTACTTGATAAGAGAAAAATTGAAGCGTTGTGCAGAGAAAATACCCGGAAAACACAGCATGAGAATTTTGGGGATTCCCTGACTTGGTCCGGGCAGCACGCCCTCCCAAAGCTGAGCATTCATTCAGCGACAAGAGGCAGGCAACTTTTCAGACAACAAGGCTTTCCGTCTGAGCTTCAGGATATACAGAAGACAACACCCACCCATTAGGAAGACACACACACCTTTATTTCTCTGTCTGAATTAAATCAGACCAAACTTCTTTGGTTTAAGGTCAGCTGGAATCAGCAGGATTATCCCCATTTGCTAAATGCCACGATAATTAGAGAAAGAATATGTCAGAGATTTATTCATGTCTACAAAATGTCATTTTTACATCTATTGAATCTCGCAATTCAATTCAATTTTGATTCTTCGATTTAAAATTGCTTTAAATGCTTCAACATTGTTTTAGTAATGCAAATAATTCATTGGTTGCCATTTAATCATTTTATGAATGACTTATTTTTAAAACTTTGCCCGTCCATGTAAACAGCCATGGTGGCACACAGTATTTTAACAGTCTATTCATTCACATTTTTGAGCAGTAAAATAAAACCATAGAATAATACCACTTCTGTTCAACAAAGAGTGCAAAAGTTAAAAGATAATAGAACCGTATTAAAATTGCAGTGAAGTATATTTAAACACAAATCATTCTCATTTTCTTCTGGAAACTGAGTTAATTCACATTCATCATTTTTAAGCATATTTTAACAAATTTGCCACTCTGACCCACATTTCACCATTTACCAACCGCCAATAAACTCAAAAAGATGATGACGAGTATAAATGAATACGTCACAGTTTAGTGGAAATTTCCTCGACTGCATAGAAACTCTGCCGAACTTTAAACGTACCCAGCGCCACAGCGACGCTTTCACAGCAGACTCTCAGGAGATGACGCCAGAATGAACCAGTTATATTTTAATTATGATCATACTGAGAGGAAACAGGTGACCTTAAGAGGTAATATCACACAGCGTTGAAGTCCTCACGTTTCATGGCTGCACCTCATGCAACAGTCCCACATGATGGTGTCAGAAATCAATACAAAAAGGCTCCTTTAAACTTTCAATCAATCAAAAAGAAGCTCCACACACAGACACAAAGTCTGAGCACTCACGACTGACATCGCTTGGATGTTCACGTCAATATCTGTCTGCATCACAATACACAGACACATGCGCAAAGGTACACATATGGCACGTAAACATGTGCATTATAAATTAACACTAATGCAGGCTGCAACAAAAGCCTTCATCCAGCTCTGCCCAATGCTAATGCAATCAGAGGAGCTGAGAGCTTTGCAAAGCTAAGCCATTTAAAAACAATTTGAGCTGGAGAGAAGGGACAGGGCCAGAGGGTCAATGCTGCCATTAAGAAATTAAAGCTGAGGATTGATCACCGCCTGCTTAAGTGGCTCTCGTCTCCGATAGAAACCAAGCATGTGTTTGGGTTCTGCAAATCTAAAGTCAAGAAGGCAAAACTGTTCCTCACAAAGCAAAGTAATACTTCTGTGAAAGACATATACAAAACTTCTTTAATTTCTACAAATTTTGTGAATGAACTCATACGAAAGTGTCAGGATTGTGGTTCTGAAAGTGTTAGCAGTCATTTATTACCAAACCGTCTTTCTGGTTTTCAAAGAACAAACCCCTGTGGTTTCTCTGCGCTGCTGTGCTGCAGCGGACAGAGAGCAGGTAGGTGTCAGATTACACTCAGATGGAGGTCAGGCTTGGGGAAGAGGCAGAGACACAGAGCTGCTCTTGATTTTAGCTTCATTTACAAAGACGAAGAAACAGCAAAACACGAGTAAAGGTTCTACAAAATGCATCAATAAGTAACAGCCCCTTCATTTGCAACTGAGCTAATGGTTGGGAAGATGAGGCAACAGCCGCCCTTGTGAAAGACCTAAGACTCTCAAAATGATAGTTGTCATAGGAGTACAATACATTACGGGCTGTTATTAAGGTAATGAGTCATCCCCAGGCCTTAGC